TATGTGTTTGTATATATATACATATATATTTGGGTCTTCTTTTGAGAACTCACAAAGTTGCAAGAACCCTGAGAACTATTGTATCATGTGTTATTTAATATAATTTTTTCCATCTAAGGTTATGATTTAGGATATTTATTAACATATATTTGTTTCATAAAGTGCTTGTTTTACATGTGTTTGGTTCACAACATGAATTTCTTTTATGAGTGTGTGAATAAAAGATAATAGTAAAATAGTATCACACCATAAACTGAATACATATGAAACAAACACATTGTAAAACAAATAAATGTTAATTAATAAATTAAATATTAATCTTAGATGGAAAAAAAAACATGTGAAACAATAACATATGGTAAAGGTTCTCACGGTTATTACAATATACGAGATTGTCATTTTGATTAAGCCTCTATATATAAGACAATAATCAAATGAGAACCACAAAAAATATATATATATATATACACACACAATGGCGGATCCAGGATTTTGGTTCAGTGGGGTCACCTTTAAGATAAACTAAAGACCTGCAAAATCGTCCGATGTGTTTTTAACCTAATTACAACGTTTTCGAGAGAATTTTAAAGTTTTTTGGTTGATTTCGATGGATTTTTTAGTGTTTTTGTCGATTTCGAATAATTTTTTTGGTTTTTTTGATTGATTTCAACGGAATTTTTTTGTTAGAGTAATGGTTTTGAGTGGGGTTGGGGGCCCATGGAAAAATGTAATAGGGGAAAGTTAAAGGTAAATCATGTAAAAACTAAATTTTAACCTATGATTTTTTTTTGAGTTTTTGACTGGGGTCCCTTCCCCCCTCATTTTTACCATTGCATCCGCCCCTGTATATATATGTAATAACTAAATATAAAAATCCAAATGTTTCACATATGTTTATATTTATGGACAGGAAAAATTACTTGTGAAACAATTTTTTTGGTTCACATAGTGAAACAATAAATACAGGCACATGAGTTTGACATGATAAAACAAATATATGTGAAAATATAACATCATTAAACAAATATATGTGAAACAATATTTTAAACATTAATCTTTAATGAAAAAATTAATATAAAAATAAGAGTGGATTGTGGATTTGTGGTTTGATATTTTTAATAGGGTCCTTATGTTATGTTTATTGTGCATTTTCGTCCCTGTAATATTCAATTTGTTTTGGTCATGATCCTTTTGACTAACGTTTTCATTAATTCCGTTAAATCAAGGATCATTTTAAATTTTTGTCTATTCGTGTTATTTTTTCCTATAAAAAAGGTAAAGATAATATTTATATATATATATATATATATATAATATACATAACGATATGAAAATAAATAAAATAGAATGTTATTATATGATTTGAATTGTTTAATTTTTTTTAAAAATTAAATATATTAAATATGATTTAATTTTATTATTTTATTATAATGGTGGAAGAATAAATAGTTTTAATCAAATTATAAAACCATATTTTATTTTATTTAAAGCAAATACAATAAGATATTGGTTTTATGATTTAATTTCTTTAAATTAAAAAAAAATATGTTAAAGACTATTTAATTTTATTATTCTTTTCCTATCATTTCAATAAACAAAGCTTATTATTGATATTTTAACATCAAAATCATTAAAAACCATTAGGAAATGAACTCCAACTTTATCGTTCAAAACTCGAAATCAACTATTAAAATTTTAAACAATTGAAATATTTGTACATAATTTCATTTTTGTCACTTAAATCGAACAAATGCATATATAAACTTTAACGATATTCCATATTAAAATAAACAAAAATACCAAAACACAGAAATGAAATCCACAATTCACTCTAAAAATCATTTTTATATGGATTATTGCATGTTATTTAACCTATTTTTATTCTCATTTGATTTAAAATATCATCGAGACTGTTAAGTGCTTGGTTGCGTGGTGACACCTTCATCTCGGATATATTCAACACTTGTCAGATCGACCACCCATCTTTGACTTTTATCATTCCAGCTCAATGTTTGACTTCTTCATATACAGCCATATGAATTTGAATCGCGCATTTCCCTCTTTCTATCTGCTTTACAACTTCATATTTAATAATTAACTTAAAAACTTTAGATTTTAATTTTTATTGTTTTTTTAATTTTAAAAAATTACATTTTTGCTTTTCGATTCATTCAAAAATCTAAATAAATATTTAGCTTTGAATCCATTAAATAGGATATTCTAATTAATATTTTTTTAAATAAAACATATTTTCGATAAATGTTTCTCGTATAAAAAGTATTCTAACAAACTTAACAACGTTCGGAAAACAAACCCTCTTCCCCGCCCCCTTTCATGGTCTCCTTCTTTGCTATTTGGTATAGATCGGGGCGGATCATTAAATATTAGTACTTGGATGTGCGAAATGCAATTGAATATTCGGCGTATTTGGGATGAGTTTATTAAAGTTGTTGAGAATAATCGTGGGAACAAACGAGAACGTTATATTTGGCGTGTCCCTATAAAGATTGTCAAATTTTTCGTGAACTTACTGAATATCATGTCATTGAAAGGCATTTGATACGTCGTGGGCATATAGAAGGGTGATACGATTCAATCACGACATGGTAAGAAATTCGATGATCGTGACACATTTGTTCGTGATCGTAATGACAATGATAGTGATTTATTAGAACAAATGATTCTTTAGATTTTGAAGTAATTATTATAATAAAGGGTTTTAATTTCCCACATCTTCGCAAACACGACGATCAGTCTACAATTAGAAAACCAGTTACAGTGATTCAAAATTTCAATCATCTTAGTTCATTACAAGTCGACACAGTTTCTTGACGTCGTGACCGCACCATCTACGACAAGGTTATGACCACTAACGTATCGAGACTCGTCGCTTGCAAGGTAAAGAGCTGCTTCTGCTATGTCCTTCGCTTTTAGGGTTGTGCCCTTCAAGTTCCCTAAACTATTCACAAAGTTCTCCGTTTTTTCTATTTCTTTCTCGTTTGGTGTCCGAAAACTTACGTCTCTATCATCAATGGCATCGTCATCTTTTCTCCATGCGTTTACCAGCATCGACGTTGCAACCCCAAAAGGAGAAATGCAGTTAACTCTGATCCCATGGCGTCCCAATTCACAAGCAGCATTCTTCGTTAATCCGACAATTGCATGTTTCGACGCTGTGTATGCATGTGGGCCCATCCCACCTAAAACGCTAGCCACACTCGCAGTCGAAATGATACATCCACTCCCTCTTGGGATCATAACCCTGGCAGCATGTTTCATCCCGAGGGCAACGCCTCTCACGTTCACATTCATTACTCTATCAAACTCGTCTATGTCGAAATTAACAATGCTCTTGTGCTTAGACTGATTTCCAAGGACACCAGCATTGTTAAACAAGATATCAATTCGACCATAGCAAGACATGGTCGAATCGATCAAGTTCTTAACTTCTATTTCGGAGCTAACATCACAATGAACATACGTAACAAAAGGCGACAATGAGCTAGCGACTGCCAATCCGATTTCGTCGTTGATATCGGCTATGACAACTTTAGCACCATGTCTTACGAACAACGTTGCAGTGGCGGCTCCAATCCCGCCGGCACCACCGGTGACAATGGCAATCTTTCCCTCCAACCTACAAACAAGTCATGCCTATTTTTTTATTATTTAATTATAAGTCGATCTATATATATATATATATATTAATTCATATATTATAATAATGAATATAACGTCATTTTATGTAACACCCATGAAAGTTCGCATTATCATCTGCTTAAATTCCGTTTTTCAATATTTTATACAGTTGTGTAACAAGTAATTAAATATATATTAAAAGTAATAATATTTAATTTTTTAATAATTAAAATACTACAGCACCATACACGAGTGGGATTTTCTGATTATAAAATCTGATTTGCTTAGTTGTCAATGGAAGAACTCGAATTGATTAATGGTTTTTCACGTGTAGCGAAGAAAATCGAAATATATAATTAATAAAAAAAAAGAATAAAAAAAGTCGTTGCTAAAAACAATTAATTATTGCAAAGATCAAGGATTCGTACAAAGTTGCATTTATTAAAAAAAGGGGTCAATTTTGGATTTTATTGTTATTAATTAACTAAAAGTATATAATTATCATATCTTTTAATTAATTAAAAGATAATTTTAAATTTAGAGAAAAAAAAATTCATATGGAAAACTAAACACTTATATTTGAAAGTGACACTTACGAACGGAAGGAATATTGTTTTTAAGAATGAACAGAAAATAAATTCTAAAAATAAAAAAATAATAATAAGGAAATCCATTTGCGATGAATTTAATTGTACAGACTATGTAAAAGAAAGATTTAAGTGACGGTATATATTTGTCATAAATGCAACTAATACGAGTAAAGAGAGATCCCGTTCTTCATGCCAATAACTTATTCCGTTAACAATACTAAAATCATTAATGGGCGTTGAAAGAATAAAGTTTATGCCAGAATTTTGATAGAATTTGCATGTAATATAAAAAAAGAAAGATTCGCAACGGAGCCACACCCTTCGTAAATCCATTTGTTAGAACTTAACAAAAAGTTTAACCGAATTAAGTGCATCAAATACCTGATACTAAAATCTTTATTCAAAATAAAAAAAAACAAAAGATATTTCGGGTTTTGGTGATGATTTGAGAAAGAAAGACTTAGTACATGACGGAACCACAGGCGTCAATGTGACACCATTGACGGAGGCGAAAGAAGTGTACATACATTACCAAAGTGTCTAGGTTACTGGTAAAACTCAATGTCACAAAAAAATGAGGAGTGTGTACAAGTATTTTTCTTATATATAAATCTTATAAATTGGAAAGAAAACGACATCTGAATTATTATTAGATTCCAACCTTCTACAAAATTATGTATACATATTATATATATATATATATATATATATATATATATATATAAAAGAAGTGTATATACCTTCTGGGGAAGATGGGTTGGATTTCTTTTCCATGGGGATGCTTTCCTTGGAAGGTTTTTTCAGGCATCACTTCAGCTGGCATTGTCGAATAATCACAGCAAACAGTACGTTTTTAGAGAGAGAGAGTAAGTAAGTAGAGAGAGAGATCGAGAGATATAGATAGAGAGAGAAGAGAATGGAAGAATTTATAGTGAACTTATAGAGAATATATATATATACACACATATATACATATATGTAGAGAGACAGAATGTATATGCATATATATATATATATATGTATGTATACATATGTATATAATATATGTATAGAGAGAGAGAGAGAGAAAGAATATAGCCAAAAGTATCCTTTTCATTGTCAACAAAATAACCCTCTCCACATATTCAAAGACCTACTTTAATTTCAATATATTTTATACATAAATTTTTTTTGGCAAAGCAATATTTATCATGCCAAAACAACAAAGTAACAAGATGAAACATTGACAACATCTTTAAAAAAAAACAAAAACTACCACCAACACAAACAACAAAAAGTGAGGCTTAACAAAATCACGTCATCCCAAACGTGAAAAAGAACTAACCCATCCAACTTTGATCGTCAGAACACTCTCTGTATGAGGGTGGTGCCTGATTGGTTTGAGCTTGGCTTCAAAAGTCAAAAGTAACAGTAGGTCACAGGTTCAATTCCAAAGAGAAATAAAAATCCCCTTGTGGCCACGGATGTTCAAATGTGGTGACTCCGGGCTATCTGCAAAGCAGGTGGTCGTCCTGGGATTAGTCGGTTCGAATAACGGGTTGGATATCCAGGTTAATAAGAAAAAACACTTTGTCCACGAAATGTTAAAATCCTTTGCATGTTTTGAGATACAATGGAAAGAAAGAAGTTGAAGAGCACATGGTCGATCAACAAGTTGGTTTGTTCCACACGAAAGGGTTCAATTGTTGCGATAACTCCAAATTATTGCCTTCCAAATATGGCGCCTAGAAGTCGGATTAACGTGAGTGCCCGCACCGTCGATCAACTCCTCAACTAAGATCGAAGATGTAAGATGCCAACCCTATCAATTAAAGACACCCTTCCATAATTTAAATGATTACGAATCCAAGATTGGGTTAACACTTCTAATACCAGGTCGAGCGTCTTGAGATCTAAATCGTTTATCCCTTATAAATGAACCTGAGCTCCGAATACTTGTGTTCCTCGCTCCGTGTTCCTCGCTATTCGAACTTGCCTCTCTTCTCAAACCCCCCCCCCTCCATCATCTCTTGAACTTCCCTCTCTTTCTATCACTATGGGTTTTATATTTAGGGTTTTTGATATACTTTTTTATATTTAGCGTCTATAATGTATTAATTTGTGACCAACAAAAATATCAGAGTCAATTTATGATGAATGGTGTAAGCATTATATGTCGTTTGGTTACATTTGATATATGAAACGGTGTATGATTGAACATAATTAAAAGATTTGGCCTCACATTTTCCATGGTTATATGTTTGGAACAAATTTGACATGAATATTTTGGTCTGATTTGGGTTCAATGCACTCAATCAGTCCTAAATTGTCCCGAATAGAACATGTCCTATTTTTATATCTTTCTTTAACATTGACCAGTTATATTTTTAAAAGAAAATTTATGTCTAGATACATGTTTATTAATATGAAATTCTTTTAATTTAGAAATAAAAGCACAAATAGTTAAAAGTATTTAATGTGCATTTAATATAAAAAAAAAGTAAATATAGTATTAAAATTGTATCATACCTTGAAATTAGGTCTGCCATGGCTTTACAACCATAACATAATATATTCAAATCCCAAATTCAACAGTAAAAAGCTTTACATCAAATACCAAATCTGATATATATATATATATATATATATATATATATATATATATAAGCAATATCAACAAAATTAAAATGGAGGGTAGCTAAACTTTTCCTTTTCCTTCAAACCTTCGTCCTTATCTAAACATTGAGATACATGATTTGGTCTGCTTTACGCTTAATTAGTGAGTTCATGGTTTATAAAAAAGAAACTTGATTTTTCAAATCATTTGAAGTACATAACTTACACATTAAGAAAACGCCATCATCAAAAACATGCATGCAAAACAAACTTCGGATATCGAACTTCAAGTACTAAATGAGTAAACATCATCTTTAACATCAAAAATCGATAAGCATAGAGGTATACCTTACATACATGTATTGTCAATAACATCGATTATTTAAGTATAGAGGTATACCTCACAATACATGTACTAGACCATATCAATTGACTTGATACATAGGTATTTCACTATATATATAGGTTAACACATCGTCGATAACATCAAATATCCAAGTCCAGAGGTATATCTCGCGATACATATATTGCATAACATTATTCGACTCTGTACACGGGTACTTCGCCACATATACTGACCAAAAAATCATTGTGATTGCCAGCCACATATATCGATCCATAAACACATAAAACATTTCACAATCTCTATTTCATGCTTCAAACTAACACATCAAGCTTGTATTTGCGTAAAATAGCATCAACAAATCAATCAATCGCAAATCAGTATGTCACATACTCTCTTGTGTAACACCTTAAATTTAACACAAGAAAATGCCTTGCATACAACTAAAAGTTTCCATAAACATAAACCGGTTTAAACTCATAAAGGTAAAGTTCGCAAATCAAGCACAATAATTAGGAATCGTACATAACAACCTAATAATCTAATCTCAAGAAAACTAGATTATAGGTGTTACTATGTCTCCAAAAAATTCAACTTCCCCTCAAGTGCTCCCCAAAAGTAATCCCTACCCTTGATGTTTTTAGTAGCACCAATCAAGTCTCCTAAGTGGTCTTAGATCCACCACTAGCAAGACCTGAAAATCACATAATCAAGAACAAGTGTTAGGCTAGACGCCTAATGAGATCACACATAATAATTCACGATATAGGCACTACAAGAAAAATGATCTTTAGAGAAGCTTTTCTTTTGTATTTAAAAGTTTGAAAAGCTTCTCTAAAACCTTTAGAGAAGCTTTTTACTTCCGTTAGCAACCTTCCCTATATAACGGTAGGAGAAGGTTTTAGGGAGGGTTTTCGAAGGGTACTTTTATGTTGACATTTAGAGAAGCTTATTTTAGGCTTTGGAAACACTTTCAAAGCGTATCTAAAGGTTGGCCGAATTTTTTTGAAAAGCTTCCCTAAAAATATGTATTAGTGACGTTTTTTAGCATCAATGACAGTTTTTAAGCGTCACTAAAAGTTACCTTTAGAGAAGGTTTTTAGAAAAGCTTCTCTAAAGATATATGCTTTAGTGACGCCATCTGCAAAGCTTCTCTAAAGGCATGATTTAGTTACATTTTCCTTACCTTCTCTAAATGTTATGTTTAGATACAAATGATCGGAACGTTTGCTAAAAGTATAAGTTTTAGTTACACTCTTTGTAAACCTTCTCTAAAAGGGTATATGATATTTTTATATATATACATATATATAGTTCGTATTTCAGATATATATATATATATATATATATATATATATAGAGGGTGGTTCAAATACTAACCCAATATTTTGTGCAAACTTTGCTAACCCACATCAACCAATAATGTTGCATCTTTGGGTTTGGTTAAAATGTAACTTACATATTAATGATAAGGGTATTTAGGTCATTAGTCATTCTTATGTAACTCCCAAATATTTTAATTGGGAGTTACAAATCCTACAATATCTCAAATTGATCTTCATCTAATAATGACATGAAAATTCAAATATGTTCATCTTATTGACAACTAATTCACATATGAAACCACCTACAACGAACATCATGCACGAACAGATATAAAGTACAGGTATCGGTTTTATCTGCACAACCCCTGTTTTTGTTAATGTGCATGTCTCATCGTCGTGCATGTGTATCACTACGAGCATGCATCAAGGTTGAAGAACATGATCATATGACCAACATATATCGATTATAGTGTTCATTAGGTTCACACGGTGTAGCTAATGTTCATATATCTAGAGTTCACACGGTGTAGCTAATGTTCATATATCTAGGGTTCACACCATAGGGTTCACATAAATGTTCATACCTTGATATAGGCACGAAGATGAACGATTGTTCATACACATATTAATTAATACAAATTTTTGACCAATTTATCCTTTGAACAATTGTTCATACACATATTAATTAATATATTAATTAAATTATTGTTTATTTAATCTCATTTAATAATAACCGTTAGATGAGAAAATGAACGATTAAGATGGGTTAGCATAGTTTGCACAAAATATTGGGTTAGTATTTGAACCAACCCCTATATATATATATATATATATATATATATATATATATACTAGTTGCATACCCGCGTAATGCGGCGGGAGCCGTGAATTTTAACGATTTTGAAGTTTCACTGGTTTTATTATAGAAGATTTAACAATTAATACAATTTGAATAAATAAGAGTTATGATTCCAACTACAATCTATCGATGAAAAAAATTGTATGACAATTTAAAATCCAATATATTTAAAATCCAACATATATAACGACTCCACAAATGTGTTCGATTTACACCAAAAGCAAAGAATCAAGAGATCGAGACCGAGACCGAGAGTTCTAGAGCAATTGAATGGAAGCTTCTGCTTTTTCTTATCATATGTTAGCTTCTTCAGGTTGAACCTAAACCCACAAAAACAACATCAACACACATAATCATCTCTATGTTTTTATAAACATAATCTTCTGCAAAATTATCTTTTTGCCATCAAAAGGACAGATTTTAAAAAATGAGGTTACCTCTAGTGCTCCTTTGGAGGATGTTTTCACTGAGCAGGATGTCAAGTCCACCGTCCAAAGCTCCCTGAACCAAAAGGTTCATATTAAGAAAATGTACAAGTCATGGTCCTGTGCACCAAAGGTTGCTGTTTTGGCAAACAGTCCATTTAATGTTCTCAAGAGCACCAGCCTGCAGTTCAATAATCTCGAGCTGAGACTGTTTTATAATGTTCTCAAGAGCACCAACCTGCACATGCGGATAGGCATCTCAGCCAAAAACATACT